AAGAATCAGACTGCCAAGACTGAGGCATGAATACAAAAAGACAAAATGAAAGCAGCTAAGAGGACGCTTCCTTGGCGAGAGCCTTGCTGGAATGCCATCAGGCATATCTGAGAACCTGCAAATGCGCTAGACATTATGCCATATCCTGACCACACGGTGATGCATCAAGACTATCAGGATTCCCTGGTCATGCGATTGCATTCTAGTGGCAGAGACAGATCATATGTGCAAACAAGCAGAGAAAGGCAACTGCCATGGAAAAAACAAGGTAATGAAATGGGAGCAGGGGTGGAGCTGTCCTTGCTAGGATGGATAGGAAAAACCTCTAGGAGGCTGTGAGAGCTGTCCTGAGACCTCATAAGCAAAGAGGGGTGAACACACGAGGAAAAGTAAGGACAGAGGCCCTGAGACAGCAGCAAGCCTGCCCTGTCTGTGACACTCAAAGGAGTCCAGTGCAACTGGAGCCGAGGAAAGGGGAGGTAGTGGTCAGAGTTGAGCTTAAAGAGGTAAGCAGGTCCAGGTGACATAGGGCTCCATACACCTGGTCAGGAGTTTCTATTTTATTCTACGAGTTTCAATTTTATTCTAAGCACAGTGTGCTCAGAACCACTAGAAAGTTTTGCCAGGATAAGGAGATGATCTGGTTTATTTTTTAAAGGTTCACAACCAGACCAGGTTTTGATGTTATCATCAGCTCTGACTCAGACTTTTGGCATCCTCAGGTACTAAAAATGTTACAGCCTTCCTCAACCCATATGCAAATCGATATTAAGAAAATTAGTGTACGGATATTCCTCAAACTTCTGATGTACCCTTGAGTTTTTTTTTTTAAGTTCTAAATGTCAAAATGTGCCGTAAAGGCATGTTTAGTGCCTGGTGAGTAACCAGGCCATCACCTAGACTACCCACCTGGTAAGGTTGCCCAAAGCACTGGAGGCCATCTATGATTGGAGTCTGTAGACAAACTGTCATTTTAGAACTTGCCCTGAAGAGACTAGTAGGGGAATGGAAAAAAAGGTGGTTAAGATTTCCTCCCAGCCCTCCCCCTCGGGAGCAGGTCATTTCCCAATAAAGGAATGTCAACCCAGCTGGACAGGGAACTGCTCAGGGAAACTCTACAGCTCTGTCTTGACACCCTCTTAGTTCAGCAAGCACACACAGCTTTCAATAAGAAAAAATGCCACACTCTTCACTCAGTCCTCTTAGTTATGTAAACTCTATTCCTACTTATAACAGTGTATCTTAAGAAGTAACTAAATTAACTATGGATGACATTCTAATCAAAACAGGACTTGAAAGAACAGTGCTGACAATAGAATATTCAAACAAATGACAGGAACCCTTAGACTGAAAAATGACAGAATAGAATGGGTAAATTGAAGTCACCATGGCTTAAGAATAAGCTCCAAGAGGGGCAGAAACTTTTGTTCGGTTACATGCTGTAACTTGAGAGCTTAGAACAGTGCCCAGCACACAGGAAGCACTTAATAAAAATTTGTTCAAATAACAAATTAATGCTGTCCTGGTTAAAAATAAAATAAAATAAATACAATTAGCTTTTCCTTCTATTAGAAGTTGATTCGAGTTTTTTTCAACTTGTTCTAATTCTAGAACTAAAGAAAACATCTCTAATGCAACTGTAAGTAATTTATGTAAACCACAGCCAACAGCAATATTTTAATCCCATCAGGAATAGAGACTTGAATGCACATTGTCCTTCCTCTCGTGACTTGAGCCCTTACTCTCTTGCCCTGTCATTCTGCAATACTGAGAAGCTCAAAATAGAAAGTCCTGTGTATATGTATGACATTTGGATCTTTTTAGAAAAATAAACTTAGCTAGTTTAATATTTCTTGGTAAACGATTAATGATTGATTGTTTCTCAGATATGTTTTTTTCTGGTTCCATAGATCCTGCCTCTCAATGATGTGAAGAAAAATAAAATATTGAAAGAAAAAATAACATATTTGAATAATGGGAGAATCTTCAAGTAGCATAATGCTGAATCCGATGGTATCCTTGATAACATAATTTCTCAAGCAGGAATTCATTCCATTCAATTCCATAACTATTTATTTGGAGACTGCTATGTGCTAAGCAACATGATAGACATGACATACAGAGGCTGCCCTCCACCACATCAGTCTTTCTTAAACTAGCCCAGATGGAGTCTGTCCTGTTTTTGAAGACTTGCATTCATTCATGCATTTATTTAACAGACACTTATTAAATGTCTCCTAATTGCAATTTTCCAGCTATATCCTGGATCCTGGGAATATAATAACAAATCCTGAAGGCCAGGGGGCTCACAGTTCCCAAAAGGATATTTCATGAATTAAAATGTCCCCATGTTCTGGGACTGACTGAAGACTGTAAAGGGAAAGAAATCATGCCGTTTGAAGAGTTAACACATGCCAGACAAATTGAGAGGGACATTCCTAACCATCCCATATTTTTATTGTTATTTTGTTAAAATAGAGATTAGGTCTTGCTATGTTGCCCAGGCTGGTCTCAAACACTTGGGCTCAAGCAATCCTCTTGCCTTGGTTTCCCAAAGTACTGGGATTACAGGTGTAAGCAACGATGCCCAGACTAACCATCCATCTAAATAACTTCTTACTCCTCCTCTGCTTATTATTTTTCATCTTGTTTTCTGTTTCTTTGACCAGTAATCCTCAACTGACATTGTCATTGCTCTAGCCCCAGCTGAACCTAAAGGTAGGAATTCTGGTCTTACAAATGAAACTAGTAATTATCTCTTAAATGATATGCAGCTTTTAAGTCACATATATGGGATTTAAACATAGATGTGAAGGCAAAGTCCATGTTCTCGCCACAAGCACTCCAAATGCATATGTTTTTACATAAATAGTAATCCGTTTTCTTATGTTAAACATTGTTATGAGAAAGACACTGGCTTGGAGTTACAGAGGAGTTATTACCATAAACAGCCTGACAGTGTGCTTAGGAAGAAAAAGGTCTGGAAGAGAAACCACAGGTGTAAAACTGTTTCAAGGTATGGAAAAGCCGAGGAAACAGAAAATGAGAGAAGGGTGAGGGGTCTGTACCAACCCTGATGACTCAGTCACTGTGGACCTGTCATTCATTGACTAGGAGAAGTGGATCCCAGAGAAGGAGAGTAGATTGTGCTGACCCTGATGACACAGTCACTGAGGACCTGTCATCTATGGGGTAGGAGAAGTAGATTCCTAGAGAGAAGAGTGGGCTCTGCTGGCCTTGATGACTCAGTCACTGTGGTACTGTCATCTGTGGGATAGGAGAAGTGGATCCCAGAGGACGAGAGTGGGCTGTGCTGACCCTGATGACTCTGTCACTATGCGGCTGTCGTCTATGGGGTAGGAGAAGTGGATTCCTAGGCAGGAGAGTGGCCTGTGCTGACCCTGATGACTTGGTCACTGTGGGGCTGTCGTCCATAGATTAGGAGTAGTGGATTCCTAGAAGAGGGAATGGGGCTGGACTGACCCTGATGGCACTGTCACTGCAGGGCCTGTCGTCTATGGAGAAGGAGAAGCTGATCTCTAGAGGGGAGGGGAGTGGGCTGTGCTGACCCTGATGACACGGTCACTGCAGGGCTGTCATCTATAGAGTAGGGAAATGTATTCCTTGAGGAGGGGAGTGGGCTGTGCTAACCCTGTTGACACAGTCATTGTAGGGCAGTCTATGGAGTAGAAGAAGTGGATTCCTAGAAGGAGGGGAATGGGCTGTGCTGACCCTGATGACATGGCCACTGTGGGATTGTCTTCCATGGAGTAGAAGAAGTGGATTCCTTGAGGAGGGAATGGGACTGTGCTGACCCTGATGACATGGTCACTGCAGGGGCTATTGCCCGTGGAGAAGGAGAAGTTTATTTCTAGAGACTTGAGGAGAGTGGACTGGGCTGACTCTGATGACACAGTCACTGCAGGACTGTTGTCTGTTTATTTGGACAAGCAGTTTCCTGCAGAGAGGAAGGCTTTGATACTGTCTTTCTCTCCAACAGGAAGTCCCCTACCTAGGAACTTTCAGGTTGTGACTCTCAATTATGTGAACGTCTGTGTCTATGTATTGTTTCCGTCCATCTGGCGGCCTGTAGCTAAGTTCATAATGCACTTTGTGACCAATTGTGTCTGTTGTGTTCCTAGCCCCATTGTGTGGGCTTACATCAAGCAGGACTTACAAACGCACATCCGGAACAAAACTAGGTCGTGCGCTGGGGGACTTGTCTGTGTTGGGTCTGAGTCCCTTTTCCCATCTAATGCCAGGGAACATCAGAATCTCCCACATCTGGCTGAGGATGGTGTAGAAGGTGACCTTTCAAAAGAAGTTTTGAGCTCTCTGGTCTTACTAAGAAATTAAGAGGCAGAAAAGCTGGTGTAGGTGCTGAGGTTGTTTTGCCCAGAAAAGCGAAGCGATGGGGTGGGAGGGTGAAACCCTCGCCGCGGGAGGTCAGACGTGTGTCTCCCTCGACTTAGCGGTGGCTAAGGTTTTCCCGCGCTGGAGGGCTTAGAACCCGCGGTGGGACTAAGACCGAAAGGCTGCCTGAGTCACGCTCCTGCTCAAAACGGAGACGTTCCCGTCAACCGCGCGTAGTCCAGTAGGCGGTGAGTTTTCACTCCAAGGCCAGCCTGTGGATGAGCCTCCGAGCCTCGACGCCTCGTCGCGGGTTGCTGGGAGGGTGGAGAGGAGCAGTGTCGGAAGACCGGCCAGGGACGGGGCCGGGGCGGGGCCGGGGCACAAGCGAGGCTGCGCGTTTTGGCTCCCAGGGCGGAGCGAACTGAGGGAGAGCGCTCTTGTGGCTCTTGTGGGTGCCGGTGCGCGTCGCGGTGTGAGTGTCGGTGCGCGCGGAGCGGGTGCGTGTGCCGGTGCGCGTGCGCGTGCGTCGCGGTGGCGGTGCGGTTGCCGGTTTGCGTGTTGGTGTGCGCGCGGCGCGGGTGCGGCGCAGGTGCCATAGAGGCGCGGGTGGGAGCGCCGGTGCGCGTGATCAGTGAGGGTACGCGTGTCGGTGCGAGTGCAGGTTCTTTGAGGATGCGCGTGCCGGTGCGGGCGCGGTGCGGGCGCAGCATGCTCACAGCCGTCGGGGGCCTCCTGCGCCTCGGTCAAGGGGCCACACGGGTCCTTCCGCCCCGGGGTCTCCCCTGCTGTTCCAGCGCCGGCGCCCCCAGCGAACCCGGGCCGCGAGGTCACGGTGAGCCCGGGCTCGAGAGATGGGCGGGGAGGAGCGGGCGGGGAACTGAGAGGAGGGAGCGGAGGCGAGGGGAGCGCGGAGCCCGGGCCGAGGGTCGGTCGCTCCACGCTCACCTATGTCGTCGCCTCAGGGAAGCTTCACAGGGTCCCCGCGCAGCACACGCCGTCGCCATTCGACAAGAAAATCCTGCTGTGGACCGGGCGCTTCCAATCCATGGAGGAGATCCCGCCCCGAGTCCCGTAAGTGCGCGGGGCCCCGCATGGGAGGTGTTGTTTCCCCACGCCTGGCCGCGAGGGTGCGAATCATTCCCCAAACGCCTTGCCGCCTGGGTGCGGAGTTCCCCATGCCCGACTGTGAGGGTGCGGGTTTCCCATGCCTGACCACGAGGGTACCGGGTTCACCACGCCTTGCCGCGAGGCTGCGGGTACCTCCCCCCATGCCCGGCCGCGTGGGTTCGGGGTTCCCCATGCCCGCCTCGAGAGTGCGGGTCCCCCCACGCCTTGGAGCCGGGTGCGGGTCCCCCCACGCCTTGTCGGCTGGGTGAGGGATCCCCCGACGCCCGTCGCGGCGCGCGCGGCGAGGCGGCCCGGGCCACACGATCTTCGAAGTCAATTCACAGCTTAAGGAGGTCCCTGCCTCCTTGTGCGGTTAGATGCCCCGGTCCCTGACCGGACAGCGGGCAGCTGGGCCTACACGGAGATGGCAGGAGCTGAGTGAAAGCCCAGGACTACGGGGTGCGCGTCCACCGTCATCCGGATATCGGTCCCCAGCGTGATCCCGCCGGGCCAGGCGGTGCGCTCGGGCCAAACAGGAGGCCGGATCCTCGCGGGCTCCCGGCGGCTGCGAGGGCGCCGGGATGGGAGAGGGCTCGGGCCACGCAAGGAAGGGGTCCCCTGATCATGGCTCGTGGCGTCCTGGAGGGTCTTTGGGAAGAAGCCGCGTTCACGCGGCCTCTTTTTCTGGAGTGGGAGACGCCGACGCAGTTCTGGAGCGCCTTCGGCCGGGTTCCTGGTTTGGGATGCAGGGTCGGCTTCTCAACTGAGGGAGATGAGAAAAGATAGAACTCGAGCTCATAGCCTCACCTCTGGAGTGATGTAACCCATAGAATAAGTTATACTAGGCCGGGCTTGGTGGCTCAGCCTATAATCCCAGCACTTAGGGAGGCCGAGGCGAGTGGATTGCCTGAGCCCGCGGGTTCGAGAACAGCCCGGGTAAGTTGACGAAACCTCGTCTCCACAATAAATCAAAAAATAGCCGGGCATGATAGCGCGCGCCTGTAGTTCCGGCTACTTGGATGACCGTGAGTGTGCCACGGCACTCCAGCCTGGGTGATAGAGTGAGACTCCAACTCAAAAAAAAAAAAAAAAAAAAAGAATAAATTATAATAGTAGGAAATCTTTTTTAAAAAATCTTTAGACATTCTGTGTGTCTGTACAATGTCATTAATGCCTGTTAGAACAGATAGTGGAAACAGCCTCTTGTTCGTCACATACTGCCTGCACTTTTATGTTTATTAGCTTGCCAGGTACCAAAGCATCTCAAATAAATGGCAGAGAAACATGTGGTGGGAGAGGCATGCTTAGAAGTGAATTCCGAAGCGTTTTAATCCTTTTTTGGATCAAGTTACTTAATGAGGCACGGAGATGGGATTTGAAATAACATGTTGAGCATTTATTGAACCACAGAGACATTTTCTAATATTATTTTTACTTGAGATCTGCAGACTCTAAGCTACAGATTAGAGTCTTGGCCCAACCTAGAAATCAGCCTCGGAAAAGTCTTTATCATCACAAGCTCTGGTTAACAAATTGTAACTGATGCCAGAGAATTTAATACTTCAAATGCTCATGAAGAAGTAAAAAGAACATAAATAAAACAAAAAAAACACTACCCTTAGTTTGTTTAAATTTTTATTTCTAGTGTCATAACAGAGTAATCAAGAAGGCAAAGAGCCTGCATTATTGTAAATTGATGTTTGTCAGGAGAACGAATGCCCCATTGTGCATTAACAGAACAGTGCATGTAAACAGACCATTTTACAGAAATTAATTTCCCTAGGATCACAGTCAAAAAAAGTATTATGAACAGGAGCATCTAACTATGAACAAGATGCCTTATACAAGCATTGTAGTTTCAAAAACATAAAAATACTTGAGTATTTCTCATTTAGCCATTTTCTGTAATTGTTTTAAGCACTGCTACTGTGCTTAGCACTGTGAAGCTAAGTGTTGGACTTACAGTGTAAACAGTTTTTGCTTTGTAATGCTCTTAATGGACATACAATGATTAAGTGATCTATAATTTCATATTATTCACTAATTATACTTAACAATAACTGCACTTCTTGTTTGATTTTGTGTATATGTGTGTGTGTGTGTGTGTGTGTGTGAAACTAATTTAGTATAACAGATCAAAGCCAGATGAATGGGTAAAAAGGATCAGAGCTTTTAGGTTCCATCTGGAGCAAAAATGAGCAACAATTATAACCTAATAATGTCTCCATCGTCATTAGTTGAACCTGTTTGCAACTAATATCTTAAAACTTATGTTATTCTGCTTAAGGAATATAGGCCAGATATTGGTTTTCTGTGCTCTTTCAACTAGTGGGAAAGTTCAATTTTTCCATTTTTAAGAAAAATTGCAATATATCGCTCTGGATTTGTTGTTTAATACAACTACACACTATTCAAACCTAATATAGAGAGAAAAGCATGCCGATGAGTACATTATCATGAATCAGGTACTTTAATTATAGCAAATCGTCTGTCAAGCCTGTAAGAAAACTGTATTCTTTAATAGAATTAACACAGGACACCTCTTGGTTTAGGCCAGAAATGATAGATGCTGCGAGAAACAAAGCCCGGGTGAAGGCGTGCTACGTAATGATTGGACTCACGGTTGTTGCCTGCTTGGCAGTGATCACATCAGCCAAAAGGGTGAGTGCCTCTGTAGGATACAGACGTTTGACGTTCAAGGAAGGTTATGGACTTTGTACTGAATTCAGGAATTATTGCTATTCTTCGATGTAAAAACACATTGTCTTTGAGCCCTGGAGTCCCCCATATATACCCATCATGCTGGAAATCAATTTGTTCTTGGAAATTTGAGTTGGCAAATTAACTATATGGCTAGGAGGGACAAAAGCTTCCTTCTACTTTGCACCCAAACAAAAATAAGACAGTTTACAACTTGATTGGAGTCTGCACAAGAAGACCTTTGAGGTTGAAAGTTATTCAGTCTAACTTATTCTTTAAGTCATGAATTCAATTAGCTATTGCATTAAATTGTGAAATAGTTAGAAATGCAGAATGTGGAAGTGATTGCCAAGGCCATCTGGTTGTCCGATCCTGCATGAGCCCTTTTCTTGCCATCCTCAGTATATGGTTTCCATTTAGCATTGCTAGAGAGAAATTAAGAGCTGACTACTCTCCAACTTTATTGCTGCCTCCCCAAATCATGCCATTTGTGGGTCACTTTTTGGTTTTGTTTTGTTTTGTTTTGAGGCAGAAATCTCACTCTGTCACTGAGACTGGCACACTCACAGCCACCACAGCCTTGACCCGCTGGGCTTAGATAATCCTTCCACCTCAGCCTTCCAAGTAGCTGGAACCACAGGCGTGCACCACCACATCCTGCTAATTTTTCTTGATTTATTGTAGAGATGAGATCTTGTCAAGTTGCCCAGGCTGGTCTCAAACCCCTGGGCTCAGGCAATCCTCTCGCCTTGGCCTCCCAAAGGCTTGAGCCACCGTGCCACAAAGAGCCACCCCACAAATATTGGGAGACACCTAACACATCTCCATGAGTCTTTTCTCTGCTGGACATGTACCAGCTGACCAGTGTGTCTCTTCATTGTGGCACTTGCAGCTGAACCCATCAAAACCAGAGCATAACTTCCTTGGTTACAAACACTACATCAGCAGTGCATCCATATAACACAGAGTAGTTGGCTTGGTCCATACAGCCTAACTCTCTGGGCGTATTTAACCAGTTGCTCTTCTGCCCAGTTCTATGATCTATCTGCCTGTGCTCCTCAGGTGCTCAAACGTATCTGAGCCCACTAACTTCACACAGGCACTAGGACCTATATGCTTACTTATATTATATAAGTGCCCGAGTATTCCTATTAGCTTGGAAAAGAACCTATCTTTAAAATTGTTCTCATCAAATGAGAAATTGTAAAAATACTCACTTGAATGAACACTCAAACATGTAAATAAATAAATTTTATCATCTCTTGTTCTTAATCTGCCTCCAGATAAATGCTCCCTGACAAATGGATGATTCTCTAGTTTCTAGGAATACGAGGGGGACCCCCTCCTCTTCTGGAGGGCCGGCCACTTGTAGCACTGGCTTCCCCCACTAGGTCAGTGTTCTAGGAAACCATCAACATGCGTGTGCCAGCTAACGTTGTTGGGAGAGGTTGCTTTGGCTTTTTTGGAGATTCTTTCTACATGTTTGCCTATTTCATGAAGAGTGATTTACGAGCGCACCTGCCCACACCATGCTGAATGTTCAGCAATTTTTGACCAAGAACAGCATGAACCCAGTGCCCCACTCTCCCTATTTACCCGATCTTGCTCCAAGTGACTATTTTTTGTTTTCAAGGATGAAAAAAGTCTTGAAAAGGAAACGTTTTGCCAGTGTGGTAGAGGTGAAGCAAAAAACAACAGAAGCACTAAAAGGCAACCTGCCAAAATGCTGGGATTACAGACATGAGCCACCACACCCAACCTGATTTTTGAACACCTGAGTTATGCCAGGCCTCTGCATATTGTTAGAATACAGTGGCAAAAGAAAAAAAAAACCAACGTGTATTTTCTAGTGGGAAAATGTAGAGCAATCAAGTAAACAAATAAAAAGATATTAGGAATTCTTAGCGCAATGAAGGACCTGAACTAAGATAGCATGGTCAAGAAAGCCCCTCTGCCCCTCTGAGGAGGTTGAGAATAAGCTAGCCATGGCAAGACTGAAGGAAGAAGAAAGAGCATGTGCAAAGCCTAGAGATGAGAAAGGGTTTTGTGGGTTAAAAAAAAAAAAGGAGCAAGTGTAGACGAAGCATAATGAGCAAAAAGAAGATGGTGTGAGACAGAGTCCAGAGAGTATCAGGCCTTTCGGGTCATTGCAGTTAGTTCAAGATTTATTTTAAACACTGTGGGACTCCAGTGGAGAGTTTGTTTGCTTGTTTTGGTTTTGTTGTTGTTGTTGTTGTTTATTTGATCAGGTTGAAACAGTGAAGAGTTTTAAGCAAGATATTGACAAAATTTAAACATTTTCACTCCCCTGCTTACCCAACAATCAGGGAAAAAGGAGAAGTAAAAACCCTGCTTAAAATAGCAATGGCAAGCCAGGCTCAGTGGCTCAGCCTGTAATCCCAACGCTTTGGGAGGCCAAGGCGAGTGGATTGCCTGAACCCAGGAATTTGAGAACAACCTGGGCAGCATAGTGAGCTCTCATCTCTACAATAAGTCAAAAAGCCCGGGCTCGGTGGCTCAGCCTGTAATCCCAGCGCTTTGGGAGGCCGAGGTGAGTGGATTGCCTGAACCTGCAGGTTTGAGACCTGCCTGGGCAACTTGGCAAGACCTCATCTCTACAATAAATCAAAAAAATTAGCCGAGCATGGTAGCGCATGCCTGTAGTTCCAGCTACTTGGAAGGCTGAGGCGGAAGGATCGCCGGAGCCCAGGAGGCCAAGGCTATGGTGGCCAGGAGCATGCCACTGCAGTCCAGTCTGGGAGACAGAGTGAGACTCCAACTCAAAAAAAAAAACAACAATAAATCAAAAATTAGCCGGGTGTGGTAGCACACGCCTGTAGTTCCGGCTACTTGGAAGACTGAATCGAAAGAACCACTGGAGCCCAGCAGGTCGAGGCTGCGGTGGCCAGGAGCATGCTACTGCACTCCAGCCTGGGCAATGGAGTGAGACTCC